TTTTTGAGACGGAGTTTCACTCTTGTTACCCAGGCTGGAGTGCAATGGCGCGATCTCGGCTCACCGCAACCTCCACCTCCTGGGTTCAGGCAATTCTCCTGCCTCAGCCTCCCGAGCAGCTGGGACTACAGGCACGGGCCACCATGCCCAGCTAATTTTTTGTATTTTTAGTAGAGACGGGCTTTCACCATGTTGCCTAGGATGGTCTCGATCTCTTGACCTCGTGATCCACCCGCCTCGGCCTCCCAAAGTGCTGGGATTACAGGCGTGAGCCACCGCGCCCGGCCAAATTAATTTCTTTATGCCAGAAAAAAATCACTATTAAAAAGCACAAGATACAGAACCTCCGCAAGGCCAAAAAAAAAATTAAAAAAAGCACAAAGAAGGCAGGACAAACAGAACAGACACAAATTCTCAATTATGATACACTCCTATCATTTAATAAGTGGTCTAGGGGGCAGGGTGAAAAGCAAAAAAAAAAAAATTAAAAAAAAAAAATAAGTGGTCTAATTACCAACATATATTTTCCAGTGTATCCACAAAATTACTTATGATTGACATATTGTCACCAAAATAAGAGGAGGGCATGAAGCTCAAACTTTGCTTATTTGCAATGAAAATATGAGTAAATATACAGATATTAAATACAACCACAGGTCCACCTAATAGTTCTTTGAGCTAAGAAAAATACCAGTTTCCTGGCCGGGCACGGTGGCTCACACCTGTAATCCCAGCACTATGGGAGGCCGAGTTGGGTGGATCACCTGAGGTCAGCCTGGCCAACATGGTGAAACCCCGTCTCTACCAAAAAACACAAAAATTAGCTGGACATGGTGGCATGTGTCTGTAATTCCAGCTCTTCAAGAGGCTGAGGCAGGAGAATTGCTTGAACCTGGGAGGCGGAGATCGCATCACTGCACTCCAGCCTGGGGCAACAATAGAGAGACTCCATTTCAAAAAAGGAAAAAAAGAGAAAAATACCAGTTTCCTAAGAAATCAAGCAAGAATCTACATATTTACAGCTTTGCTGCTTCTGGCCAAGACCCTTGAAAAGTAGGCCACCAGTGCATAAGCAGCCTACTCACAGCATATAACCCAAACAATCCTTATTATTATTATTTTTTTTCAGAATAAAACATTCCTTGCCAAGGTGAAAAAAAGAATCAAAATATATATTTAAAAAGCAAAACAAAGCACACATTACACAAATGTAAGCACTTTGATGATGGCCAATATATACTCCCAGACCGTGAAAATTCTTAGAATCTCTCAAGATCTGTTCATTCTGCCTTTAACAAAACAATAGCTCTTATTCTATGTCTCACGTGGTCTTATAAAGGTTGACATTAGTTCCCCATATGTAGCAAAAATATCTCAAACTACTACAAGGATGAAGTGCTATTTCTTATCAGACGCATCATATATGCAAAAGAAGAAATCTTGTCTAATCACCTTTTAAAATATTAAATATCAGAAGCTATCTAGCCACAATACTAAGTGCTGCGAAGGAAGCAGAGAACAATCACTAAAAAAAGAGCCATTTAATTGCTACTGGTCCCATGCAGATTTCAGCCTAAAGGAATCCTGGCCAGGAACATGGCTCATGCCTGTAATCCCAGCACTCAGGAGTTCAAGACCAGCCTGGCAAGGGCAACATGGCAAAACCCCATCTCTACCAAAAACACAAAAAAATTAGCTGGGCGTGGTAGCAAGTGCCTGTAGTTACAGCTACTGGGGAGGCTGAGTGGGAAGGACTGCTTGAGCCTGGGAGGCCAAGGTTGCAGTGAGCTGAGATGATGCCACTGCACTCCAGCCTGGGTAACAGAGTGAGACTTCATTTCAAAAGAAAGAAAAAAAAACACTGATGGTGTGGGGAGATAGTAAACCAAATTAGGACTTAATTGTTCTTTAGGCACAAAGGGAAACCAGTGTGAAAAATGCTTGAAACATAGGGTATTTTAAAGAACAAAATTCTAAAGTGAGCATGTACAGTGTTATATTCTAGATACGCTTCTACTTCCTGGATATGACATTTCATTATTCTCAATAATCATTCCAAACAAAAATGGTTTTTTGTTCTGAAATAGACTAAGAAAATAATCATCTTCACACCTTCAGTATTATGATTCCTTAGGACAGCTTCACCTGTTTTTTCTTTAGTAAATTATTTATTTCTAAGGGGAGCTATATTAGAAACTACTACCCCAACTATCTAATGGAAGTGATAATTCTTCTGCAATAACGAATTTACAAACAGGCCAAATTACACAGAAGCAAACTACTCATATATGCTATACCATTTTCTCTGGTCTTAACAAAAACTTCAAGTACCTTACTCATTAGGTCAATAAAGCACAAACTCAAAACCTATACCACATCACACTGAAATATATGTACCTTTTTAATTTTTTTTTTTTAAATAAAGACAGGGTTTCGCCATGTTGGACAGGTGGGTTTCGAACTCCTGATCTCAAGTGATCCACCTGCCTCGGCCTCCCAAAGTGCTGGGATTACAGGCATAAGCCACCACGCCTGGCCTGAAATATATGTATCACCTTTTACTATCACCTTGTTAATCCAGTTACATGCTACACAGGTAACCCAAACATAAGCTTAAAAATCTGCACCCTGAGAAATCATGTCAGGCAAGGAAGACAGTAACACAGGATTGACTTTTTCCTTTATTCCCCTGGGGGTGAGTTAACACATAATTTCAAATGCTAATCTTCCAAGTTATGCAATTTAGAGAATGAAACCAATTCCTTTTTAAATTTTCTGGTTAACATATGCATTTGGTTTATAACCTGTAAAGATACTGGTAACGGTATCTAGAAGCAATATTTTCTAACACTTAAGTGAATAATGTAAGGATACATGTGAAGCCAAGGTCACTTGTTTAGCCAATATGATATACAGCTTCTAGTATGCAGTTAAATGATGCAATGCATATAAAGAAAATGCCATACACATACTAAGTGATCAATAAACGTTATAATTATGCCAAAAAAATCCCATACAGGTATTCAAAAACAAAATAAATATATCTTTCGTTAACCTGAGTGATTTAAAAGTTAAAAGAATATTAATATTACTGGGTTTTTTTTTTTGAGACGGAGTTTTGCTTTGTTGCCCAGGCTAGAGTGCAGTGGCGCCATCTCAGTTCACTGCAGCCTCTGCCTCCTTGGGTTCCAGCAATTCTCCTGCCTCAGCCTCCTAAGTAGCTGGGACACCACGCCCAGGCTAATTTTTGTATTTTTAGTAGAGACGAGGTTTCACCGTGTTGGTCAGGCTGGTATCAAACTCCTGACCTCATGATCCACCCACCTAGGCCTCTCAAAGTGCTGGGATTACAGGTGTGAGCCACTGCACCCAGCCTATTTATTTTTCATTATCCAGGAAAGTTCATGGTTGAAATACTTTCTTTCCCACACACAAAACTTGATGTTCCTTACTACAAACAATAAAATTATTTTTACATACGAAAAACTGGGAAATGTTATGTTAGGCTTCTACATCATAGTAACTGACCAGATTTTCAGCCTGATTCCATTTTACAATTAACTGTCTCACAACGTACCACATTGTTCTAATAATCAACTTACTGGGGGGAAAAAGGGGGTATTCTTCTATTTCTCAGCCTAATGTGTTGAGACTTTAGCTGGACTGCAGTGGTGTGCCACTATGCCCAGCTAATCTTTTATTTTTTATTTTTGGTAGAGATGAGGTCTTGATACAGTGCACAAGTTGGTTTCAAACTCCTGGCCTCCAGCGAGCCTCCTGCCTCGGTCTCCCAAAGTGCTGAGATTTCAGGTGTGAGCCACCGTGCCTGGCCCTATTTTATAAACTTCTCATAATACTCTTTATAATCTTTTCTAATATGCCTTTGAAGGAGGTGGTACGCATACCTGATAATTAGTAGGTTCAAATCTAAGTAATCAAATCACTATCATGACAAAAGAAAATAATCACCACCAGAAGAGTCAAAATTTGAGTTGGTCATACACTGTTCACCAAACGGAAATTCTAAGACAAGCAGAGAAAATCTATGCGTGAGGAAGATGGCCAAGTGTTCTAATTACTGCACCTGTTTAAGATGCATTAGTTTAATTCAGCAAATGTAAATTCAAAGTCTCTCTATATTACTTTTCATTTAAGCCTTCACATCAACTAAAGACTCGAACAACTATGACAAGATTTATTAAGTTATCATAAATAATTCTTAAAAAAAAATGTTAACAGATGAGACTACCAGATAAAGTACTTAGACAATGCCCGATGGGTGCAGGAGAAAGAACACTGTATCTTTCTCTGTTAAGTCAGTCCACTTAACAGTTCATAGCACATGGTTGGTATATCCATGGAAAAGTTACTCAGGAGCTCAGTAAGTTCAATTTCCTCACCTGTAAAGTTAAGACCAAATTACCTTACATTTAAATAGGAATTTGTACTTTTCAGAGGGTTCTGGCTTTGTTGCCTCTCAGGTGAGTTTTACAGGAACCCCGATGGGCGGGCAGGGAAGGTGTCAGCGCCCTGTTCTATAGTTGAGGATTTCTTAACAGTTAAGAGATCACATGAAACATTGTAACAACTGCCAAAGTATCAACATGACTTTAAGGTATGAGCATGAATCCCCACACGCCTAGTCCTTCTGGGAGGCTATACTTTAAAGTATGACAATCACAATCGCTGAGTGATTAAATAAGTCAATTCCTGGAATAAAAGGTTTTTAAAAGAATAAACATAAAAGGAAGCAAATGAAAGCAGACCTGCTTTCTAAAAGCATAGTAAGAACTTTTTTTAAGTACATGCATATACAGTCATAGAAAAATCTCTGCTAGTATTCACCATCATATTAATAGTGGTTCGCTCCGGGTGCCGGGAATACGGTTGATTTTATCTTCTTTTTTGTTTATCTGCGTTTTCTAAAACAAACATGAACTAGTTGATATTCTAAACAAAAATAAGCCAAGGCAATTACACACTGGCAGGTTGCATGCACAGACGTTTGAAAGCTCTAACAGTAACAACAGTGACAACTCCCAGGAACCCACCGGCATTTCAAGAACACAAGCAGGAAGCCCGGAAATCCGTAAAAACAGGTGCTAAGGGCCCCCGGCGCAACCTGACAGCTGCGACCGCCTCTTTTCAACATGAATTCCGGGAGAGCTGGGAGAAGAGACTGGTAGCTCTAGCTTAGTTTGACAAAATCTTAATCAGAATTTCCCTCTGGCACCTCCCAGATCTCGAAGAGGAAGTGGGAGGAAAGGGCTTAGGGGGCGGCAGGCATTCGCCATGCATGAATAGGGGGATGGGAAGGACGGAAGCCTCCAACTCGGGCTGAAACCGTCCCTCCGCCCCCATCCCGGACTAAGCGCCGGCGAGGATCGACAGGCTTGGAAGCAGGCCGCCCAGTAAAGGGGCTTTCAGACGGGGCCCAAGGGTGCCCTCCCAACCCGGCGGGCCCCGGCCCCCATCTTACAGGGTTTCTTGGCATCTTTGATCTTCATGGCTTCGGCCCGAGGGGCAAGGGACGGCCTTGGGTCGGAAGCACTGAGAGCAGAGGCGGCAACTGCGGCGGTGGCTGGGCCGCGCGGCGAGGCCCGGCCGGTTCCTCCCCTCAGGCCGGGCGGGGCGGGGCGGGCCTAGGGCGGGGCGGCGGCGCCTGAGGCGATGCCCGGCCCAGGGGGCGGCCTCCCACCCCCGCGAGGGGCGGCCGGGACCCAGCGAGCCGGGGAAGGCCGCCGGCTTCGCCGCTCCGGGGCCTCCCCGCAGCCGCTCCAAACAAAAGGCCCCGGTCCCGGGAGCCGCCACCGCCGCCGCCGCCGCCGCCGCCGCCGCCGCCGCCGCCGCCGCCGCCGCCGCCGCCGTACTGAGAAATAGCCCGCCCAGGCCGAACGCCCACGTGACACGAGCCCCCCCTCGCTCCGCTTCCGCCCGGCTGCTGGGGATTGTAGTTCTCCAAGTCTTGAGGCCCCGCTCTCTGGATGTAGTTGTGAATGTGGACTACAAAGCCCAGGATGCATCGCGGCCTCTCCTCCGGGGCCCCTCCGCTTCCGGAGATCGCCTCAGAGTGGTCCCAGCAAGAAGAGGGCTGGGTCTTAGTCACGCCAGCGAGAAGGCGACCAATGGTGGCTGAGATGGGCGGGCTGGGGAAGTAGGGCTCAGACCTTGTCAGGTCGCGGAAAGAGAAGACAGAATGATCTCCTCGCGGGGGCTCACTTAGCTGTTTGGCCGTTCTCGGACTTCCCTTTGAGCCAGGAAAGCTGGTGGTCAGGCCATGGAAAGCGCTAGATTCAGGGCTCTAGAGCCATGCTTTAGATAGACCCTTGAGTACATTGGTGAATTAAAGTCATTCACAAAGGAATTCTCTTGCTTAATTAGAGACATTTTGAATATGAGGGTCGGAATGATGACAATAGCAGGAAGAGAGGTAACGTCAATTGAATGCTTTATGTCTATGGGACTCTGCTAAGCACCTTTTGTGATTTACTTCAATTCAGGGGCCTTGTGAACCACGTGCAATTATTCATTTTATTGTCCTTCATTTTGAAGATGGGGCAGGATCCAAGGAGTTAAATCTCTTGCTGAGCATTCCTTTTGCCACCCATTCATATTCCCCTCAATCCATGTTCCCCTCGGGGCCCTCCAGCCCAGCTCCCTGGTTCTAAAGTGAAAACTGACTCCCAGAGAAGAATATTTAGATGCTCCAGTTCTCACAGTAAAGCCAAGACACCCTTTTCCCGTGCCTCATAGAATATTAGTTCTCCAGCTGGAACGGGGGAAGATGGCATTAGGTATCTTCTTTCGGCCTTCACTTTTGTTGCCCAGTTAAATGGCCAGGAATTCAGTGGTTTTTACAACAGATGGAATAGGGGTTGGCAATGGAGGACTGGGCATTCCAGTCAAAGAAGCCCATTAGCCAAAGAGCCTTTCTGTCCCTTCTTGCAGATGATAAGCCAAGTGATGTGAAGGACAGGAGAAGACACAAACTACCATTTATTGAGTACATGCTAAGAGCTGACACTTTGCAAAGTGCTTTACTTTACAATTTAAATTTAATCCTCCCAACTACTTTTTGAAATAACCTGATTAAAAACTAAAAAAACTTGCTGGGTGCAGTAGTGTATGTTTGCAGTCCCAGCTACTTGGGAAACTAAGCGGGGAGACCCAGGAGTTTGAGGCTGTATGTGATAGAGTTTGTGAATAGCAACTGTGTCAGAGGCGTTTGAACCACAGGGATTCCATCTTGAATAGGGACTGGGTAAAATAAGGCTGAGACCTACTGGGCTGCATTCTCAGGAAGTTAAGGCATTCTTAGTCACAGGATGAGATAGGAGGTTGGCACAAGACACAGGTCACAAAGACCTTGTTGATAAAACAGCATGCAATAAAGAAGCTGGCCTAATCCCACCAAAACCAAGATGGCCCTGAAAGGGATCTCTGGTCCTCCTCACTGCTGATTATATGCTAATTATAATGCATTAGTATGCTAAAAGACACTCCCACTGGTGCCATGACAGTTTACAAATGCCATGGCAACAGCAGGAAGTTACCCTATATGGCCTAAAAAGGGGAGGACCCCTCAGTTCTGGGAATTGTCCACCCCTTTCCTGGACAACTCATGAATAATCCACCACTTGTTTAGCATATAATCAAGAAGTAGCAATAAGTATAAGTAGCTGAACAACCCATGCTGCTGCTCTGCATATAGAGTAGCCATTCTTTTATTCCTTTACTTTTTTTTTTTTTGAGACAGGGTCTCGCTCTGTCGCCCAAGCTAGAGTGCAGTGGAGTGATCTCAGCTCACTGCAACCTGTACTCCCAGGTTCAAGCGATCCTCCTGCCTCACCCTCCCGAGTAACTAGGACTACAGGCGCACACCACTACAGCCAGCTAATTGTTGTATTTTTAGTAGAGACGGTTTCACCACGTTGGCCAGGCTAGTCTCAAACTCCTGACCTTGTGATCCACCCACCTCAGCCTCCCAAAGTGCTGGGATTACAGGCATGAGCCACCACACCCGGCCTATTCCTTTCCTTTTTAATAAACTGGCTTTCATTTTGCTTTATGGATTCTCCCTAAATTCTTTCTCGCAGAGATCCAAGAACCCTCCCTTGTGGTCTGGATCGGAATCCCTTTCTGATAACAACTGTACTCCAGGCTTGGTGACATAGTGAGACCCATTTCCAAAATAAAATAAAAATTTTCAAAGTTTAAAGAAGCATTAACACAAATTCAAATATTGGTCCTACCACTTGTTAACAAACATGGGCAAATTATTTCATCTTTCTAATTCTCTCGCTCTGTTGCCCAGGTTGGAGTGCAGTGGCATGAGCATAGCTCACTGTAACCTCAAACAGTGATCTGTGGGTGGGGCAGTGGCTACTCAGCCTCCTGAGTAGCTGGGATGTAGGCATGTGTTACCATGTCCAACTAAGTTTTTTATTTTTTGTAGAGACGGGGTCTCACTTTGTTGCCCAGGTTGGTCTTGACCTGCTGGCTTCAAGCAATCCTTTGCCTCAGCCTCCCAAAGTATTGGGATTACAGGCGTGAGCCACTGTGCCTAGCCATCTCTCTGATTCTTATTGGAAATAATGATGCCTACGTCTCATGGGATTGAGATGGGATTAAAGGAAAAATGCAAATAAGGCAACATTGTGGTCTGAATGTTTATATTCAAACATGGTCTGAATTCAGTATTGAGAGGTGGGGCTTTTAGGAGGTGATTGGACTGTGAGGGCTTTCCCCTCATGAATGTATTAATTCATTCATGGATTGGTGATTTAAGGAGTTGATGGATTAATGAGTTATCATGGGACTAGTGGTTTTATTAACGATGATGAGGCCAGGTGTAGTGGCTCATATCTGTAATCTTAGCACTTTGGGAGTCAAAGGCAGGTGAATCGCTTGAGCCCAGAAGTTTATCAGCCTGGGCAACATGGTGAGACCAGGTGCGGTGGCTCACACCTGTAATACCAGCACTTTGGGAGCCCAGGAGTTTCAGACCAGCCCCAGCAACATAGCGTACTCAGTTTCAAGTATTCTGTTATAAGCAACAGAAAATGGATTAAGACACATGTAACATATTGTCTGGCATATATGTAGTGATTAGTAAGTGATGATTATGTTTATTTTTTTTATTTTTATTTATTGATTTTTTCTTTTTCTTTTTTTAAGACGGGGTTTCACCATGTTGATCAGGCTGGTCTTGAACTCCTGACCTCAGGTGATCTGCCTGCCTTGGCCTCCAAAGTGCTTGGATTACAGGCGTGAGCCACCACGCCCAACCTGATTATGTTTATTATTTGGATTGTTATTCTTTTTTTATTTTTCTTGAGATGGAGTCTCGCTCTGTAGCCCAGGCTGGAGTCCAGTGGCATGATCCTGGCTCATTGCAAATTCTGCCTCCTGGGTTCAAGTGATTCTCCTGCCTCAGCCTCCCAAGTAGCTGGGATACAGGTGTGTGCCACCATGCCTGGCTGATTTTTGTGTTTTTAGCAGAGACGGGTTCTTGCCATGTTGGCCAGGCCGGTCTCAAACTCCTGACCCCAAGTGATCCGCCTGCCTTGGCCTTGGATTGTTATTCTTATTGTAAGGTAATGGAAGAAAGCTCAAGTATTTAAACATTTTGCCTAAGGTCATTATTTGGGATCAGACCATAGGTCTCATTAAGTAAAAGATGAGGAACCACATGGCACTGATCAGAACGGATTTTGATTCCAGATTTTATGTTTAATTTACTATTTTGATTCCAGATTTTATGTTTGTTGTATAGAATTTTTTTTTTTTTTTTTTTGACGGAGTTTCACTCTTGTTACCCAGACTGGAGTGCAATGGCAGGATCTCGGCTCACCGCAACCTCCGCCTCCTGGGTTCAGGCAATTCTCCTGCCTCAACCTCCTGAGTAGCTGGGATTACAGGCATGCGCCACCATGCCCAGCTAATTTTTTGTATTTTTAGTAGAGACGGGGTCTCACCATGTTGACCAGGATGATCTCGATCTCTTGACCTCGCTATCCACCCGCCTCAGCCTCCCAAAGTGCTGGGATTACAGGCTTGAGCCACCGTGCCAGGCTAGAATTTTTTTTTTAGAGACAAGGTCTCACTCTGTTACCCAAGCTGAAATGTAATGGCATGATCATAGTTCACTGCAGTTTCCAGATCCTGGGATCAAGGCATCCTCCTGCCTCTCAGTTTCCTGAGTAGCTGGGACCATAGGCATACACCACAACACCCAGCTAATTTTCTTATTTTTAAATTTTTTGTATTTTTTAAGTTTTATTTTTAAATTTTTTTGGTTCTCGCTTTGTTGCCCAGGTTGGTCTCAAACTCTTGGCTTCAAGTAATCCTCCCGCCTTGACCTCCAAAAGTGTTGGGGTTATAGGCGTGAACCATCTTACCTGGCCTTTATTTTTTTTATAGACGCATCCTTCTGAGCTACCAGGAATGTGACATGGCAAGTCAGAATCCTGAAGGGTAGACTTAACCTGCTCATCCTCTTTTATTTCCTGTTATTACTCTATCCCACACAGAACCTTAGATATTTTAGAATGGTCCTGTTTTCCACAATTTTATTGGATGAGAGTCATGATTTCTGATCCAACATGGTTTCAAAGAATATTCACTGTATAATATGATTTACTTGCTGGTTCTATAAGTCTTGTGGGCACACCACGTTCTCTACCAACATATATCTTTTGATTGTTTCTGGCTTCTCTTTGATAGTAGCAGCTTGGAAGTCAAAGGGGAAGTGATACATATGCCTTGTGATAGGCTGGCCATGGTCTGAGAGAAAGAAGAACTAGAAACTAGATGCCAT